CCTTTGCACTAAAGAGGGAGCCTCGGCAGAACCATGGGGAGAGAGGAAGTCATCTGGAGTAGGGCAGCAAAGAACTACAAATTGATGGCAATTTATCTCTGAGATGAGGCTTCAGACTCTACCCCCTCCCCCCATTTCCTGTAGCATCCCTGGAGGAGTCAGGTTCCCCTGCCCTCTTCCAGATGAATCCACGAGACCCCCGCCATCACCACGAATCCGATTCTTACTGTTATCCACAGGGTGCAGAGCCACATCAACCTAGAAAGTCCTCCTTTGTGCAGTTTAAGAACCCACGGCCCACAGGTGGCCCTTCTTGGTGTGGATGCTTCATCCAGCATCACGCACTTGGTTCCTTTGTAGGGAAAATCTGGGTGGTCAGTTCTGCGCAACTGCCAATTGTTTTTTCTACCACCAGGACCTCATGCCCAGAAATAAAGGCCATGTTCTGAAGGCTCCAGCTGCCACAAGCAAAACTGAAGGCAGCTTTCTTTTACAACCCCAGTAAATGATAGACACATGCCGTTCACAGTGATGATGGGTTCGGGTCTTTGCAGAAAGAAACGTTCATGCCCCTCTGCCACTGGAAGGGAGCCACCAACACTCCTGGCTGTCTCCTCTGTTCTGAGAAAGAACTGACTCCCTTTTTCTCACCCACTTATTCATTCCTGCTCACAGGAAAGGGAGCGGCCCACCTGGCCCATCAGTCCATGTGTTCTAGTGGGTGGTGGTGTCACCATGCTCTACTTCTACGTCTTCTCAGAGCACCCACGTTTAGGGGCAGCGGATTCTCCGGACACTCATCTCCTGCATTCAGGGAGTGTGACCCTGCCTCCTCTTCACATCCCCATGCAATCAGCACCTGGAGCAGGATCCGGGGAACTCGCCTTGGTCTCCCTGTGACGGTGTGTGCACCTAACTCTGATCCTCTGCAGACCCAACTATCACGTGGATCTTATGAGCATGAAGTTCCCAAGGCCCACATTCAGGTGGGAAGCCTCAAACTCAGCCAAGGTCCACTGTCTGGGTTTTCCTGAGAGCCCAAAATGGGGGTTCTGGATTGCTTGCTCATGCAGTGATTCTGATAGTTGTATTCTATGCAACTACAACTCTCTGTATGTCATCCTGGAGGTGAGCAGCAGTGAATCTTAGTGTCTGCCACCCTAGAAAGTATGGTCCACATACCCTAGGGACCTATTCCTCATGGCAGCTGGTCCCCTAAAGAGCACGCAGACAGATGCCTTAATCGGGGTATATATCATTTTTAGGGCCCAATACAAAATGAAAATGAAAGACTTTTTGTTCAAAAAGCGGGAAAAGGTGTGTTAAAGACACCAAATATAGTTTTATCTTTCACAGTCTCTCTGACTAGCCACGGTATTTTTAATTTGCTACTTAATGTTGCTCTAGGTCAGGGGTGGGGAACCTTTTTTCTGCCAAGGACCATTTGGATATTTATAACATCATTCACAGGCCATACAAAATTATCAGCTTAAAAATTAGGTATGAAGAAAAGCTCCTAGATTTATTGAATTTCGAGTCCCGCTAGTGGTTGCCTTGGCAGGACCAGACCAAATGATTTCACGGGCCATATACGGATATTCCCCACTCCTGCTCCAGGTAAAGAATTAAATTTTTAAGTGTACTATAAAAGCACGGTAGCATGTATCACAAAAGCTACATGCACACGGGGGCCAAGGATCAGCAGTAGGCATGCACACTACATGTGTTTAGAAGCTCACATGAGGCTTCATTGTCCCGCCAACTTTATGTACTTAAAGCACAAGTTCAAAGACAAAACAGTTAAGCATTTCATGGCACCAACTGCACAGGTCGAAAGCCCATGATGCCAGCTTAGTCTTACTGAAGAGAATCTGGAGGATTTGGAATAATGATTGAGGAGAAGCAGTGAGGGAAATAATGCTCAGATGGGTTTCCAAAATAAGAGAGTCAGGGCAGACTGGAGCACACCGACTTTCATTATTCTTCTTGGTTTAATGCTGGCTACACTGGTAAGTTGATTGCCTGAACTTCCTAGGAACCAAGAGTCTCAGGGTCCCTGCCAGCTCTGTGCCCTGCACTTTCTCACCTCCCTCCGAAATTCTGGGAGCTTGGGCCCCGCCCCGGATGAGCCTTACTTACCTTAGAGCTTCTGGGAGGAAAGACAGAACTAGAATGGAGAGTTTCTGCAGGGCACTTTTAGCTTTCACCCCAGCTCCTTCCATCTTGTCTAAGAATTCTTGCTTGGACTGGCTTTAGAAGCAAACATTTAGATAAAGCGTAAAACTCTACTCACCTTTCCTTCCTGAGTTACCCTGGCTCAAGGGCTTGTCGGTGACTGAACCTTGGGTGAGAGAGGAAACAGAAACATAGACATTCAGAATGCATCGTGGTTGGTTCCTTTCACAGAGTCGGCAAAGCCTGATGTTATGAGCATATGGTTATGTGTATATATATAGTATACACATCTAGGGACATTATATACAAAGCTAGTACATACATACATGTCGAATGGGTTTGTTTAATGTCAATGTCACTGATATCACTGCACTGTTAAGATGAACCATGATTTCCAGGTTCCCTGGCAATAGTCTTAACCAGACTTTTACAAAATTCCACATCCACATAACTCCCTTATTGAACATTCCAATAACTGCCCCTCGCCTCCACTCCCCATCTCCCTCACTCTCACCAATTCCATGTTCTGAGCCATATCCATTCAGTAGGGCCAACCAAAAAGAAACCCCCTCTTACTACAAATGCAATGATTGACATCCCTCGCTGGTTAGGGCAGGAAATCGGCGATTTTCCATCTGCATTAAGTAGAAAATTGTTGGCCCAATTGTCCTGAATGGGCCAAAATAGTTTGAGGCATGGAAACAATTTTCTAGACGCAGCAGGCTGTTCCTTAAGGAGGGGGTAGTGTGTGCGTTTGGCCAAATACTTTGCCCTGCATATGCTAGAATGCCATAGGCATCCATCCTACTGTCCTGACCCTGTGGCACCTGTCTTCTCCATGAAGCCCACACAGGAAGGGTGCAGGCAGCTCATCCACAGAAGGGCATCTGTGGAGGTCCACCAACAAAAGAGGAGAAAGAATCCATATTTCCCCAATCTGTATCATACCATTTCTCCATATACTGATTTTGTGCGAATTTAATTATCTTACCCTGCATGACTTGTTTCTAGTGCATTTGTTTGCTTTAAATGAAACTTTCCAGGTCATCTGCAAGGAGGACTCATTCCTGCCCCTCCCCACAACCACCCCAATTAAGGTTTCCAGTTTCCATGTAAACCACAAATAAAGTAAACTTTCCTTTTGGGCCTGCAAATCTTGGATTCCAAATGTAGATACTTACTGCCCTTCCCACTTACTTCTCCCTTTCTACAGCAGGGCCAGTAGAAAAATGAATAAATTTTGTGAAAAAAGAAAAATGTTAGGATAGTAGGACTGCTAGCCTTTGGAATTTCCCCTAGGTTTTAGATTAATGTTTTATGCTTTGCTTGCACTTAAACATTAAAAATAAGTAAATAAATAAAACTTTATATACAAATATAGGGAAATATGAAGCGGCTGATGGTGGGATAGGTTTTTTGGTGTTTTTTTTAATCATGGCTGAGCTGCATAATGAATTAAGGGAGTGATGCTCAAGTCCCTTATAATCTGAATGGAAATGGAAAGTGTGGGGCTTGTGCAAATCCATAATCCACAAGCCCATGAAGTTGACCCAAGAGCAAAATTTCCCATGTTTATAAAGTTGGAAATAGAAAGGACTTCATTTTTGCCACTGGCTGACCTAGAGGGTCACTGTGAAGTTGTGGTCCCCTAACTTGTCTGATCCTCAGAACCACCTGAGAAGCTTCATAAACATATGGACTCCAGACCTACTGCAGTAGGTCACTGCAGACCTACTGGGTCAGATATGCAAGGAGGGGCCTCAATACCTANGTCTCACTGCAGACCTACTGGGTCAGATATGCAAGGAGGGGCCTCAATACCTAGGTTCTTTTTCATTCCCCAGGCACCGCCGAGGACAGCCAGATTTGCGGGCCACCGTGATGAGTTTTCCATCACTCCACATTACATTGTTCAGGGTGGCACATATATGGCACATACGCCACCACTCTCCTCTCCTGTGCTCATGACAGACATCACTAATTGATCATCATGGCCTTTGATGATAAACTCCCAAGCAGTCTTAAAATTCACCTCAATCAAGTGTTCCCAGGGCCACTAGCAACCAGAGCATTCAAGCTAAAAACACAAATACCATGCTCTAGGAGTTACAGCAGGTACTTGGGGAAAAGAGCCTTGAACCAAAAAACTGGACTTACAATAAGTATATGCACACAGGAATATACTGACCCTGTCACCCAGCTGACTACAGAGCCAGGGCATGTTGGAGTGGGATCCTCCCTCCCCTGGGGAATGGCTCATCACCACCACTAATCTCTCGAAGATTCCCCCACAAGGTGCAGCAAACAGCCAAGGGGTCTCTCTCCAACCCTTTTCTTTCTTCCCGCCTCTCCCTACGGTACCTGAACATACAGGAGTTTTATTCTGCACAGAAGAGCCACTGATTGGCTTCCCATCTGGGGTGACACACCAGCAGTACCCTGTGTAAGTGTGGCACTGCACCTGTACAGAAAAGTCAAAAGGGGGAAAGAACTGTAAGTCTTGGGGCACAATATCAGCCGTCATCTCCCACCTTTTCGAAAGCACCCCCAGTATGGCAGGTGAGCTCCTTCCACTTCTCACTCCAGCATCTGTCCCCACAGTGTCTCTTGCAGGCGGGCACGTCAGTCAACAACATTGTGTTTACTTCATGACTCCCATGCACAACCACAGAAATGTATCTACTTCTTTCCAATGACTTTTAACACTGACTATCTTATACTTAGATATGTCCAATATGTGTTTCCACTAATACCCACACATTCCCCCCTGCTCCCCAAGCACTGACATACACTCCCATCCAACTGTAAAAAATTCTGATTGGTGAACTAATTTGGCAAGTACAAGTTAGAATGTCAGCATTGTAGGTTGATGTGACCCTTCTTTAACAAGCAGAGATAGTGGTAAGCTTTTCTTCTTTCTCCAGCTTTTCCCAGCATCCATACATATAGTCAGCCTGCCTGTGGATCAGGTGGCTCCCCTGAGACAAGGACACACGTGATGGGGATATGGTGAGAACAAGGTCACTGTGCCTGCAGGTTCTAGCTGCCCCTCTGCACCACTGTGTGATCTTGCTCAAGTCTCCATGATCAGGCCTGCCCTGTCTGGGAACAGTAAATGAAATGAGGCTTCCACTTCATTCGGGGTAACTCTTCTTTCTCTGCCGATAGCTGTCACTCTAGCCACCTCCTCCCACCCCACCACCCTCTTCCAGGCTGCTTTCTGCACGAGTTCCTAAACACAAATTAGGGCATCACTTCCCAGCTTAAAACCCCTGGGTGACTTGCTAGACTCAGGATGGAGATTAAGTTTATGATCATGCAGGACCTTGAGCACCATGCAAATGAGCAAATTTGTGTGGTGCTTGAGGTCCCCTGTGATCTGCCCCCTTCCTATTCCAGCAGCCTCATTTTACACCCATGACTCCACACATGCTCTCCACTCCAGCCACAATGAACCTGCTGAAGCTTGCAAGCACATCCAAATTTCTCATGATTCTGAACTTTGTTTGCTCCAACTATTCAATCCGTCCAGATACCACTCCGCAACCCATGCCCAGCCCACTCCTAATTCCTCCAGATTCCCACCCTCTTCGTGACACACCTTCTCTGCAAAGTGGTCCCAGCCTCCCCTTCCTCCTTCCTCAGATCCTCCACAACCCCTGGTTTCCCAAATTCAGAGCCCTTATCACAATGAGCTATAATCATTGATCTATCTAGTCTATTTCCCTCCCTAGACTATGACCTCCCAAAGGCAAGGGACTACATACTGGTTATTTCTATATTCGAAGCATCCAGCATAATGATTGACATTTATTGCAGGTGTTTGATGAGTTGAATAAATGAATGAATGATCCTATTTCCTGTCTTGGACTCCATCAATTCTAAAAATGTAACATCAATTTAAACAGCCCCACATTAAATGTAGACCTCATTTACAAGATGTGTGCCAATTTGCACAGATATTAAAGTGTGCAAAAGTGTGCCTCCTGGGATCAAGGGCACATTGAAGTTGAGGACAGACATGAATAGCCTACAACCCGAGTGCTGAGGTCTGCGAGGGGCACAGAGGTAAAAGAGAGATATGATGGCCTGGATGAAATCCAGGAGTTATCAGTAAGACAGAAAAGCTACAAAAAGGCTTCTGCTTTTGTGAGGATACCAAACACCATAGTTTCCCCCAAGACTAATTGTTTCCCTGTGGACCTACTCCCAGAGTCGGGACAAGAACAAGACAGAGGGCACCCTGCTCCTGCCAGTACGAGTCTGTGTATAAAAGAGGCATTCACCTCTCCTGTCCACACAAGGAAACAATATTCAAGCCTTTCCCCCAGTGCCATACGCCACTCCCACTTCATCTCCCGGAGACGATCCCATGGCTGTGGTTGCTGCCCCAGATGCTCACTCAGGATCAACATCTTGGGTTGGGTCAGTGCTTCCTTCTGAGGAGGCGTAATGGTGGAATGGAAAGAGACCCAGACAGACCCGACTTTGAATCCTAGTCCAGCTAGTTACTAACCTAGCTCTTTGAGCCCCATCTATAAAATGGGGAAACAACACCAAACCTGGAAGGCTCTGAAGAGCAACAAACAGTGTGAGCCCAGTGCCTGGCACGGATGATGGCCGGATGCAGGGTGGCTGTGGCAGTGATTGCTCCAGGCTGTGTCAGAGACACCTGGCAAGTGGCCTCCTCCCACACCAGAGCTCCCCTAGTAACCTCCCAAAGCTTGGGTGGGAAACGCAGCTGGAAACTTGGATTTTACCCCTTCAGATTCTGTCAGCCCTGCAGGGGATGGTTTCTAGAGACGATTCCTCAGCACTGACAGAATTTTATTAGGGCCTAGCTGGCTACTTTCTCCTTGTTGGCCAATAATCACCTCAAGGGAAACCTGTCCCTGCGGCTGGGCAGCCACACTGACTTACTCGCATGGCTGCCATGGTCAAGGCTGTCCTCCCTCTCCCTGAGGACGGTACTGGCCAAGTGCAGCACCCGAGGCTGTGCCTTTGGCCCAGTGCTGCCTGCGACAGCCAGGCACTGTGGTCAAGCAGCCCGCAGGGAACTGCTGGACGGGAAGCCGCCTCCGGGGCATGCAGAGCCCCAGCCAAGGCTAGTAGGAACAGAACTAAAGGCATGAGTAAGAGCTTAAGCCCAAAGCTTTGTTTCAAGGGATATAATCTGCCCTCTGGGCTCAGCGGGTCTGTAGGGCCACAGCTCACTGAGTAGCCCATTATATCCCGAGGACACGTGGGCACTGCCTCCCAGCCCCCAGCCAGGCCCACAGGCCCAAACACAGCCCCTTTTCCCCAGGGCCTTCAGCATTTTCCTCGGGCCAGGTCCCAAGGAGTAGACTCCAAAGTACAAAATCTTCAGGCTGGAAGCTACTTCCAAGTCCCAGAGAACTGGAACCAAATGCGGGCTTGTCGCCTCTGCGGCCTGAGGCACCCGGACGCGGGCACGCCTGCCCGGTGGGCTGCGGAGGAGGGGCGGCAGGTGGCAGGACGCGCAGGCGTCGCCCAGCAGGGCCACGGCCCTTTGCTGAAAGGGCCCCAAGTGGATTAGCCCATGACTCTCAATCAAGAGAATGTTTGTAAGTCGTCTTGGGGAGTTTGCAAGATGTGTCCTTGAAGAAAAAGAAGTTACAGAAGGACAGAAAGCAGTGGTCCTAAAGTCAGAGTGCAGCCCACCTTCCTTAGCAGCCCAGCTCCACCAAGCGCTGAATTTCCAGCCCGCTGCAGCCTCAAAAAGGTTGAGTCAACCCATGCCTCAGAATGTCCCAGTCTATTTAAAAAGGGGAGATAGTAATACCTACCTCACTCCATTGTCGATGGAATTAAATTAGGTAACGAAGATAAAGCACTTAGTTCGCACGGTTAAGTACCCAGGCAAGCTACGCTACTTATTATCACTGTGTTATTTTTCAGCAAACTGTCTATATACCTGAAAGGGCACAGCCAGGTTCTCTGATGGGAACCAAAGAACATCCTATGACCAGCCACAGAGGAGGGGGCAGTCTGAAACCAGCAAAAAGTTTGAAAAGTTTCAGTGGAGGAAGGGGAGGTTTGTTTTCATGTAGCAACAGCTTTATTACACTCAGAGGAGAAAAGGAAGGCTTCTTGCAGGAAAAAGGTCAGGATATCAAGTCTACAGAGCTGACGGTTCACACACATCAAGACGCAAGTTCTACCTAGTTTAGCCTCCTTCTTGGCAAACTTATCTATTCTTTTGAACTAATAAGTTATTTATTCTTAGTTCTACCTCCCCTACCCCCAGCCTCAGATTAATCAACTCTCGGATTAATCTCTGGGAAAAACACGGGCCAAGAGGAATTGACAGGGTAATGAATTGTTCATTTCTACTATCCCACTGTGCAGTTCTGGAAACGCAGGGTTGTTCTGGCCCCAAAGGTACAAACCATGGAATTTGCTCCTTTCCCACTCTGGAGCATCCCGGGAAGGTTGAAATGTCAATTGACGTGTCCTTCCTTAAGAGATAAAAAGTGTTTGTACATCAGCCTAAGTGAGGTTACTCTCTGCTTAAATGGACTGTTGAATGTAACTGATATTCCTAAAGGTACTTTAAGACAGTGCGTGCTTAGGTAAGTAAATTTCATCTCTCACTCATATACTTAGATTTTTGGATTGGCCCTGGATGGATAGCTCAGTTGCTTAGAGTGTCATCCAGATATGCCAAGGTTGCAGGTTCAATCCCCGGTCAGGGTACGTACAAGAATCAACCAATGATGCATAAATAAGTGGAACAGCAAATCAATGCTTCTCCCCGCCCCATCTATCTATCCCTCTCTCTATAGAATAAAATAAAATAATTTTGACTTGAAGTCCTTTGTATAAATAGCCCAATGGTATATTGCAAGTCAACCTCTGTCCAAATTAAGACAAAATTTGAAGTTATTTTAAGCCTGTTAATCTTCAACATTAGCCCAGCTCCTGGACACTGGCAGAATGAGGGAGGCTGGCACTCCCAGCAAATGCAGCTGAGCGATGAGTAGAGAGGAGCAGAGCACACACCAGCTCACAGGACAGAGCGGGTCAGGGAGTGAATGGAGGAAAGCACCAGGAACAACAAAAGAGACAGACGGACTCTGCACATAGACAGCAATAACCACAGGCACCATGCCCCAAATGGACAACGCCACCTTTCTACTTCACAGCGGCTTTTCAATCACCATCAATGACCTGTGCATCACCTCATTCAGGCCTCAGCCACCCTGTGTGCAGGTCTTTCATAGCAGAGGCACAGGGAGCGGAGATAATTTGTTCAAATGTCACAGCTAGCTCCTAACAGCCTAGGAATGCACATATCCATCCCCAAGCTCTGGTAAAATTTCAGAATGGACCGAGCTGGAGAAAAGGTGAGCAATTACCAATCTAACCCAAACATTTTACAAATGAGGAAACCGAGACCCAGAGACAAAGAGGTGGCCTAATGGCCACCACCTAGTTGTG